GCTCAGTTTGTGGAAGATAATGGATACTCTTTTGGGCTTACTACCACCTTTTGTTTTACTTGTACTTTGTTGTTTTCTCTTCTCAAGTAGTTTGCCTGGAACTGTTTCTCCCTTTTTTGGTTGCTCTACTTGGATGTTGCTCTCACTCCCTGTTTTATCATTCACTTTGGAGCTGCTTGGTTGTTTGGTCTACCCAGTAGGGAGTTTTGAATGCTGACCGAGGCTTTTGCTATGAAACTACCTTTTTGTCTCTTCTCCTTCTTTCTGTCTGTCATTTGCTCACTGCTTAGGTATACTTGTTTTTGGTTTCTTTGTTTTTTGGGGTATACTTGTAATTTTCGGTTCTCTTTTTTTGTGTGGGTTGTACTATGCGAGGTGGAACCTCTAGGAGTGTGTCTTTAATGTATTTTTTTTTATTTTTGAGTTATAGACTGAGGATCCACCCCCTCCCCCTTTTGTAATCTTTATTTATATTTAACACGTAGGGAGCCACAAGTGCTCCTTTCACAAATATATATATATATATACATACAACACTATTTTATGACTTAGAAATTTCAACCCTGACTGAAAAATAACTCTTATTAGAAAGAAAGTTATCAGAAATAGTGTTGATGATCTCAAACTGGTAGACAAACGGAAAGTAGAACTCATGAATGGGAGATATGTCTTGATAAATTAATCGTGGTTGAACACTACACCAGGATTTTCTCCAAAAAATATTTTAATATTGCAGGCAAGTCAATAAAGTTACTCAAGTAGTCTCCTGATTTTGACAGAAATCATGAAACTCTCACTGTACATGTATGGTTTAGTCTACCTAGTCTCTAATTGTCATTTGTTAATCATCAGGTTTTCTACTCTATTGAGACCATACTTGTGGACCTTATGAAGCTGGATCTACCCACTTTCAAATGAAGCTGGATCTACCCGCTTTCAATCTAACCAAATAGACCTTCTGTGGTCATAATACTTGTGGAAAAAGATATTACATTACCAGATATTACTGAAATCTGGTTGGGCACAACTCATAATGGATATTGGCAACAAATCGTAATGGAACACAAACCTCCTTATTGTACCTATTGTAAGATGTATGGGCATGCCCTTGATAAATGCCACAAGCTCCATCCTAATTTGAAATCTAAAGTTCAAGTGAAGGAGGGGTCTAACCCCACTGCTCTGGACATATCTGCTCCAATTGGGGGAGGAAACAACAACAAAACAGGATTTGGTGACTGATCTAATTGCTCTTGTGGACCCCCCTGACAATATTATTATTGTTTCTGTGATTGATGTGATGTTGGATGGCTCTAATGGGCAACCTACAACTTCAAACCCTATTGAAAACAAAACTGAAGGATCCATGCCTACAAAGGATAGTGTGCGGACTGATAATCAAGAGAAACTTGTAGCTCCCCATCTTCAGGAAGTATCTGGTGTAGAGGCGACAACACATACTACATATATACTAGAAACTATTACAGGCACAACGGATGGCAATCCTTCTGCTACAGCTCTACCACCTCATCCGAATGATCAATCTTTGAATGAGGAATGACAGGTTTACACTTTCAGGAGAAAGAAGAAGAATGGAGAACTACTTGAGCTAAGGAATCTAATAGATGATACTTTGGTTACTTTGGATAATTGTACGCACCTCGCCATTTTGTTAGTTGACTCCCTTCTGAGAACTAAAGGCAGATTCATTACTAAATTGTGTCATCCCCAACTACTTTCGCGCCCTGGTGGTTTGGGTTTTTTTTATTTTATATGTACCCTCTCTTTTTATGTTTTTTGTGTGTATTGTACCGCGTGGGTTGGGTGCCTACTTTCGGACTCATTCATACAATTTATATGTATCTTTTTCTCTTAAATATATTCGGCAGCGGCAGTGGGCTCTGCCAGTGTTTCGCTCGTTGGTGATTATCGACGCTTATTCCTCGTTTTCTAACTTTCTCTTAGTCGTCTTCCGCGACGATATTTTCACTCCCTTGTAGCTTTTTCAACGACGCTCGCTCGCAATGGTCTTTGTCGTTGATGCTCGCTCGTGTCGTCTCTTTAATCGACAACGTCACCCGCAATAGACAACGCTTGCCCTCGTAGTCACGGCTCGCATCGTCTCTACTCGACGACGTCTCACCCGTAGTCGATGTCACTCGCCCTCGTTATCGCTTGGTGTCGTCCCCCTTAGTCGATAACTTCTCATGCCGACGAAATCTAATTTCCATAGACGACGGCTCTTCCTTCTCGCAGCTCCTTTGTAGTTATCTCCTTCCAAACGACGTGATTGTTTGCTTTGCTGCCCGACAGACACCATGTTGTCAATGGAGATGACATTGACGATCTGTTGCTATGTAACTGCACTTGCCGACGACATTCCTTTTCCTACTCGTGCTCCTCTTTCAGGTTCAGAGACTGGTTTTAGTATTGGCAAGTCCTGCAGTGGTCTACAATCTTTCCACAAGGCTCTTGAAAGTGATGGTGATCACACTTTCATTAAAAAGCATGGTAAAATAAAATGGGAAGCGTTTTCTTATTTTCAAAGATGTTGAAACCAGTACTCTTGCGTATTCTTAGCATTTTGCTCTAATGGGAAAATTTTTTTATCATTCGGAAAGATATTGATGCTAGAAAGTTGTTAGGCAATTCGAATATTGGTTAACTTGACAGTCGACATATACTTATTCAGTTATTTCACGATGTCGATTACACTCGTATTTTTTCCCGAAAAGTTATCAAGATCGACAACAGCTATATGAAAATTCTAAAGTGGACTCATGATTTTGATCCAGAAGAGGAGACCTCTATCATTTCTAATTGGATAAAGTTTTAAGGTTAAAACTACATCTGTTCAACTTGAAAATTCTCTACTCTTTAGCAACTGCTTACGGTAAGCCTCTCAAGTTTGATTGTCCTACACTTGTTGTCACCAGACCCTCTGGGGCTTGTGTTTTAGTTGAGAAGGATATCACTCAACCAGCTCTGGATGAGGTATGGATTGGAACCACTCACAACGGTTATTGGCAAAATGCTAAAATAAAACAACACCCTCTTTATTGCTCTCATTGTAGTATGTTTGTCACAGTTCTACTATTTGCTATCGCTTGCATCTCCATCTGTCGGATATCGCTAAAAATCAGCCACATATCATCCCTGTTGAGAAGATGCAATCTGATCCTCTTTCTAACACCGCAGTTTCTGATGAAGAACACCAGACAATAGATACAGATCCAATCGTGTTTTTACCACCCACTGCTATTAAAGAATACTCACATGTCAAGACACATGAGAGTGTCCCTTTGATCCAATAAAAGACCAGCTGGTACAAGAAATAATTGTTTCTGATGTTCAATAACTACACATGTTCGGCACACTTTAGACCAATCCACTGATTAGGTGAGTCAATCCTCGGATGAGGAATGACAGATCTATTCCAGGAGGAATAAGAAGAATGGAGTCTGACTCGAACTCAGGAACCTATTGCATGATACATTGGTTACCAATGACAATGACACTCATCTTATCAATTTATTAGCTGGCTCCTTCCCCAGAACTAGAGACAGAGATAAGGCAAAATTGAGTCACTCTCTAGCTACCTGATACTATGTATTTTGACATTTTTTAATTTTTTTCTTTGGGTCTCTCATTCATTTTTCTGTATTTTCTCGCTTTGCAATCATTTGTGATTATCGTGTGGGTAGGGTGTCATGCTTGGACCCTCCCACAATATCTATCTGTATCCTTCTTTCTAATTAATACATTAGCCTTTGGGCTTTCTGAATATATATATATCTTAATGGGTAGTTTTTTAAAAATTTTATATGCCCATAAGCCTACAAAGATTTATAATCAATTAAATTTAGTCATTTTAAAAATAAAATAATAATATATTAAATTATAGCTAAATAATATTTAAATATAACTAATAAGACTTAAATCTTGCCTCGATCATTAATATCTTACGGTTGCGTGTCAAGAGTTGTCAAACCGACTCTTTCACAAACAACTTGTATTCTGCTCGTTAAGATTAAGAGTCAAACACGAACACATTTTCTGTTCGAAATATAAATGAACAGAGCACAAACAGTGGTATTTTTTAACGAACTGAGTGTGGGCTCGCTCGTGTTCGGCTCATTTACACCCATAATTGGAGTTGAAACATGTCACACAGAACAAACATGGGGTGACAACATTGCTTAGAGAAATGTGGAAAGGTTAGGATTTGGCTTCTACGGGCAAGAAAGAAGTATGAGATAAATTAATGAGCTAAACCATTCATGTATATCATATCAAGAGAAATGGTGCATAATGTGTGAGATATGAGTAAGGCCAGCAAGGTGTGTGATCATGCGATCAAGTAATATCGTATCAAGAGGAATACCAATAAGTTCCCCTCAAAGTCGAAGTTAATCCTTCAAGCATGTTCTTTCCTATTTGGAATGATCAAATATGATAACAATTTAGCCCAAACCATAAGCAAGGGGATTATTTAAACCTATAAACATGTTGATGAGTCATTACAGTTCGAAAGAGATATTTAACCTGTAAACTAGTCAATGAAATTTGACTAAATGGATTACTAATTATTTAAACCTAGAAAAGCTCCTTTGAAAACTTCTTCAATAATAATTTCACAGCAAATTCAATTAAAAGGAATAGATTAAATAGCCAAAACAGTTCCAGAGCTAAAAAAAGTTATGCTAGAAAAAATTACTAATTATAACATTTACAGAAGTCAGCATGAAGCACACACACAATGACCGCCTAATAGCGCACAAGCTTATATCAGATAGCTAAAAGGCCGCCTAAAGTTCAATGCAGTGAAAATAATATAGCTGCCAAATGTGGCAGCAAAACAAAATACCGATGGCATAGCTAGATTAAGAGCTTATAGGTTGGTTGATCCCTTATGTGCAAAGACCGACCAATTCAAACTGAAGTAATACAGAATAAATAATGCATTATCACAAAAGCAGAAAATGATGACATGTGCTAACCTCCTTTGTACTAAGAGCCCTTGTGGAGCGGCACGGATCTGGAGCCCTTTCAATGATGACTTGGAGTATCTGGACATTTTCAAAATGAAAAAATAAAACAATAACTTAGGCATTATGAGAGAAGAATCAATATGCTACATCCAACAATTGCTATTGAAATGATAAGTTACAAGTAAAAAATAAATTGTATGAAAAACTACACAATAGGCTAAAATCAAGTACTTAAATCAGCAAGTATCATTAACAAGTATGTTTAAAAAAGCTGCATATACAATTGATGAAAGAAATTATTTTTTAAGCTTGGAACTGTTCAAATTATATTTAAATTCCTAAAACATTAGAGAGAAAAAAATAGCTAAGCAACCACCTTCCGAAAGGAGTCAGGACCCATTTGCTTCTCAAGCATCTGAAGTACCGCTACCTGTTTAAAAAAAGTCAAGGTAAAAATTAAATAGCAAAATAGAAGCTGTTACATACGAAATAACAGAAACTAACATACTGCTTTCCAGCAACGAATTCTTCCATATACACCAATAGTTTGAGTTCCATACAAATCACTACAAGCAGCCGCAGAGGACAAAGCAGTTGCCCCACAAGTATCAGCTTTACAAACAGCACAGTTATCCTACATACAAAAAACTAAATGTGAGCATAATCCATAAAAAGTCAAAATAATATCAACCTGTATTAAAATTTTTTAGCACAGTAAATAAACAACCAATAAAGCACAATAAAACATTCCAAAGTATATGGGATAGGCAGCAGCACAAAATAGGAATGATGTGCAAAAAAACAACAAAAAAAGAAGTTTAACGTTGCAGATATAACATTTATTTTATACATACAATGTCAACAAAGATCTCAAAAATTAAGGAAGATATGACAGAATAGAGATAATGTTATACATTTTCTGTCGCAAATTTAAACAGAGAATTGCATCAAGCATCAAATAAACAAAGGGAAAGCTAAGGGCGCGATTGGGGCGGCGGTAAGGTGGCGGCGTGGCGTCGCGCAATAATATTTCTTGTTTGGCAAAACTGTGTTTTGTCTACGTTCTCAAAAAACTGCAACAGAAAGCTATGTTGTGCGAGGTATGACTTTTTCAAATAAAATTTTTTTGTAAAAGCAACTGTAGCTTTCTGAACAGCAACTTCATGACAGCTTCTTCAAACAGCTACAACTGCCCCAAATGTTACATGTTGATCCTATATTTTAAGTAAGTGGATCTGCAAAGGTAGAGGCAGACCTAGGAAGACTTGGGCTTATTATATTAAAAATGATCTTAATTTACTAGAACTAAATGAAAATATGACACTAAATAGGACGCAATGGAGAAAAAGGATTCATGTAGCCGACCCCACGCAGTGGGATTAAGGCTTTGTTGTTGTTGTTGTTAGACCTGCAAAGGCTTCAAGCCCCGAGATCAACTGTGCATCTCACCAAAACTCAAACAAATCCTGTGATGATGAGCACAAAGAAAAAGAACTTGACGGATGAAAGGAAATAAGAACTTGAAAAGAGAAGGAAATGAATGGATCGAAAGAGCAGAAAATGCTTCATAATTGAAATAAGGGGACTTTGCTCAATACAATACCTAAAAAAGGTTGTTTATGGCAACATCAAACATAAAAATTTAAATAGCCCAAAGCATTAATTATAGAACAAACTCTTGATGAAAAATTACACTTCAACAATTAAAAAAACACAAAACTACTTATAAATGACAAAAGATAACTTAACCACCAATAACTAACATAAAAGAAAATTATTGGCAATATTATTGAAAAGAACAAAAATTCAAACTTAAGGACAAACATAGATGACATGTACTGCATTAATTCACTTGGGTTGCAAAGACTTGTACCTCAAAGAGTTAAAATTTTGATGAGAAAATAACTAGTCTCTTAGTAATATTACAAAACAAGTGAAATCCCTCCAATATTAGTGGTGCAGCTACAACCATACCGGAAGCTGGCGGATGTTCAAACACTAGCCTTGAAAATGGAAAAACAACAAAAACAGAGCAGTAAGCGGTCGTCCTTCAAGCAACAACCTTCAATTAGATAGTCACCTATAGCTACCACAACAGACAAAGACACCTCGGGAGCAGCTAGCAAGATAGAAAAGGGAAATAAAAGGCCACATCAGAGTGAGAAGAAAAAGAAGAAAGACAACTTTTCCAGTACAATACTAGTCAGAAAGTATATTAGTTGTCAGGGCTACAAGCACATAGCATCCAAATATCCCACAAGCCAAGCGGTCACATTCACGGATCAGAGCATCGTCGAGAAAGTGGACCAGGACTCAGAGGATAGCTCGAAGGAGGAACTTTAGCTTCAAGAGGACGATGGAGAATTGCTAGTCATACGACGAGTTCTGCAGTCAAAACAGAAGCGAGATCAATCCTGATTGAGACATAGTATCTTTCACACCAAATGCTTGGTAAAGGGCAAAGTTTGCGGCTTAATCATTGACAGTGAGAAGTGCTAAAATGTGGTGTCCACCCTAATTGTGAAGAAATTAGGATTTGCCACGCAGAAACATTTCTAATCCTACTCTCTTACCTAGTTTTAGAAAGGAAACGAGATACACATGGATCAATAGTGTTTGGTCAAATTTTTTAGTGGGGCTCAGCTACAGGAGCAACAATGGTGCGATGTAGTTTTGATGGGCGCCTGCCATATTCTATCGGGAAGGCCTTGATAGTTCGACCTTTAGACTCAACATGATGGCTTCAATAATACGTACTACTTTAAAAAGATGGAAAACACAATGTGTTATTGCTTGTTAAGGATGCAAGAGGCAAAGCCAATACAGAGGAAGCATTAGTCCCACGAGCCACCTTCCTACAGCCAGTCTGGGACGCTTCTATGGCACTGGCATTAGTCCTCCTAAAGGGAGCAGAGGAGGAGAGGGAGATATCAGCACTACTGCAGCCACCACTACAAGACTTCTAACATGTGAACCCCGACAGCCTTCTAGAGGGGTTACCATCATTGAAGGACATTAAGCACAACATAGATCTTATACTAGGTGTAGTGTTGTTGGATCAGCCTGGCTATAGATTGAGACATGCGAAATACGAGTTACAACGACGAGCACATGATCTGGTCACAATAGGGCTAGCCAGAGAGTATCAGACAATGTGTTGTTCCTGCCTTGACGGTGCCTAAGAAGGATGGGTCGTGGCGCATGTGCAGGACAACAAGGTCATCAAAAAGATCATCATCAACTATAGGTTTCTCATACCTCGCCTAGACGGTCACCTGGACTAGTTACGTGAAGCCATCCTTTCCAAGATTAACTTGCACAGTGGGTATGACCATATACGCGGATGAGGCCAAGAAAGAAAAACTACTTCCACGACACCCCTATACGAGTGAACGGTTACGTCCTTCAACTTGTCAAACACGTCCAACACTTTTATGAGGTTGATGAATCAAGTAATATGGGCCCACATCGAGACATTTGAGGTGGTCTACTTTGACGGCATTCATATATAGAGCCAATCTGAGTAGGATCACTTACAATACATGAGAGAAGTGTTCGAGGTATTGCCAGCAGAGAAATTACGCTCATTCGAAGAAGTGTCACTTCATGAAATACATGATATGTTTTTTGGGTTATATTGTGTTCATTGCCCACATTTAGATGGACCCTGCCAAAATCGAGACCATTAAAAGCTGGACAGCACCACAGAAGTTCCCTGAGCTAACAGAATTCACGAGGCATCACTTTACAGGCGAATCATCAAGAACTTCAACACCATCAGCGCCCCTTTGACAAAACTTTTAAAAGGAAAGGAGTTCACTTGGGCATGGGCATTTGTAGCTCAAACTAGCTTTGATGCCCTAAAAAAGAAGGTGATCCAGGCACCATTTCTAGCATCACTAGATTTCAACCAACTATTTAAGGTAAAGAGTGATGCATCTGGAGTGGGAATAAGAGAAAGGTTGAGCCAGGGAGGCCACACCATCACCTTTTTCTGTGAAAAGAAGAATGATTCCAGCAGGAAGTGCTCAACATACGACAAAAAGTTTTATGTGGTAAGAGATTTCAAGCACTGAGCTACTACATGCTGACGAGTGACTTCATGCTGATTACAAATCAAGAAACCTTAAAATTCCTAAACAGCTAGAAAAATATAGAGGGTCGACACACTACGTGCGAGAATTTTAGCATTATTCCAGTTCGTGCTTTAGCATAAAGTGAGGAGTCGAAACCACATAGCAGACACACTAAGCTGTCGTCACCTGTTGATCGTGTTGTTGGGTTTCAGATAGTAAAGGACATGTACGAGGCAGACAAAGACATTAAGGAGGTCTAAGAGTGAAGTTAAGAGAAACTGACTGAGCAGTACAACAGAGCTGATGGGTATTTGTTCTGGCAGAATAAGTTGTGCATTCCCAAGTGCTCATTGAGGGAAGCAACTGTTCAGGAGAGTCATAGCAGAGGTCTTGCAGGATATTTTTGCATGGACAAGACTCGCACTAGAAAGAGAGCGTTTTTTTGGCCCCAACTGACAAGAAATGTAGAGAGGCACATCAAAAAATGCAAGATTTATCAGATAGCAAAGATCAAAGGGCAGAATGCAAAGTTGTACACTCCCTTACTAGTATCGGAGGCACCGTGGGTAAACTTCAGCATGGACCTCGTGGTGGGTTTCTTGAGGTCGCAGAGAACAAGGACTCAATGATGGTTGTATTGGACTGATTCCTGAAGATGGCACATTTCGTACCCTGCCACAGATGTTGAACGTGTCTCATGTCGCTAACTTGAATTTAGGAGAGATCATGAGATTACACAAATTTCTCAGCAGTGTCACCTCCAACAAAGACGTCAAATTTTTAAGCATCTTATGGAGGACATTGTGAGAAAAGTTAGGCACCAATCTCTAATTCAACAGCTCATCCACAGACAGTTGGTCAGGCGGAGGTAGTAAACAGGAGCCTAGAAAACCTTCTGAGGTGCTTCATAAGAAAAAGTATTAAGCAGTAGGAACTAATTCTCGCTCAAGCTGAGTTCGCATACCATTAGTATGTGAGTCAAACTACAAGATGTACTTCGTTCAAGATTATGTACGGGTGCAACCCGCTCACGCTACTCAAGTTGGTTTTACTCCTGCCGACATCAAAAATCAGTGAGGATACCAAAGAACAGGTTCACAATATTCAAAATCTCCACGAGGAGGTTGAAAAAGAGATTACTAAGAAAAACCGCAAATATCAGACACAGCCTAACAAGTCCAAGAAAAAGGTGATGTTTCAAGAAGGATACCTCACGTGGATTCGGCCGAAGGAGAAATTTCCAATAGAACCATTCAGGAAACTGAAAAATAGAGTCGTTGGATCATTCAAAAGACTTCAGAAAATAAATCACAACACCAACAAGGTAGTCCTGTCAAGGGACTACATTGTGTATTTTATGTTCAATATCGATGACTTGGTACCATTCTTTTAGGATACAAAAGCTTTCACGAATAAGGTAGAAGCTACCTCAATCCCGGAAAACTGACGAGATGCTCTAGCTGGCTGGTTGAACCAAGGCAAGATTCTTGTCCAACAGAAGGCTGAACCAATTTTGTAAGGGGCAGAAATTACCCCCATGCACTTTTCTCCTTTTTTTTCATTTCCCACCTAGTTGGCTCAATTTATATGTGTGTTTGTTGAGTATAGGGTGAGGTTATTTGTTGTTTGATTTCAGATTTATACCTAGAGGCTTTCCCCTTGCTAGAAGTGCATTCGAGGACAGGTGGAACTATGGTAGTACCATGCGCCGAGGCGGTGTTCATCCTTGTTGATTCCCTTCCCCGCTCTCCTTCATTTTTTGTCTTGCCATCGGCCCAAACCCTCTCTTTCCCTATTTCCCTATAGTTCCAGCCACTAGCTCATCCCTAACCAACCTATTCCAAGCCGCCAGCCACCCCCTTCTTTCCCTTCTGTCCAGCCACCTCCCACTACCCAATAGGCCTACTCCCAATCACTAGCAAGCCCTCCTGCACTCCCAATTCCAACCAAAGCCCCCCTTTCCACACTTCCTCTATTCTAACCACTAGTGCACCCTACACCCCCATACCAAACCTCGACTTCTCCCCTTTCATCCCTCCTCCGTTGCAACAAAACCACTGTTGTCCCCAAATTTTCCAACCTGTTCCTAGCGGGATATTGTTGCTTTTTGTGTTCTAGTTTCTGTTTTGAAGTGATGATTGTAACCCCACTCATTTGTTTAATAAAATTTTCTTCTGATATTTCAGGTTCAATATACTCTAGTATTATTTTCTCATCTCAAAGTTTTCTTTCATTAATAAAATTAAGAAGGAAAAGATTAATTGTCAATGAAGAAAATAAACCATTTAGCTCCAAAGATATTTTTAATAGTTTGCACACATCGCTATGAAATAAAACGAGCAGCATGAAGATTTGCATGTTCAATCATGCAAGTGTCTTTAGCTACGGGAAATTTTTCACACTTAAATATCTTTGATTTTTTATTAATGAAAAAAAGGAATTAATTTTATATGACAAGCAAAAGATAGTTCCCCTAGTTGATAACACAGCCAGTAATCCCTAACATTATCTTATGTGTGTTTGAAATTTAAAAAATAAATTTAGTTAGCTTCACAACCCATTCTTTGAGCATGTACTTTATTTCAAGGGCAATAATTTAGAAGGTAGACTCCTAAATACATTTTTACACTACCAATCATCTTGCCTGAATTCAAATTCGAAAACTTACAAGGACTATATGAAAATTTAAGATTAAAATATATCTCAACAAAGTTTGTTGATTGATAGTCAGATGGCAAATCTTTTAATGAATGAGAGAACTGGATTCCAACCTATTTTGATAGAAACGCATCTACATGCAATACAAAATTATAACTTCCATAGCAAGGGCCAAACTATGAAAGATATTTTTGCCCCTTGTCACATGAACTAACAAGATCAAGTTTAGCATCCAAATAACAATTTTCTTCTTATTTTCAATGACGGCATCTAATAATTTACCATTTTGGGTAACCAAACGGATTTTATTAATGTTCAACAAGTAGCTTCTGCTAGTAGAATGGTTGGTTTGCTTGGACTTGTTGTCGATATGACTGAAATGGAAATAGCTAGTATTATTTTTCTTTGCTACTAGCACACATTCATCTTGAACCTTTTAAATAAAGGACTTTGAAAATTTTCATTTTGAAATTGATTCCAATGATGGAGTTGCAAGTTGCTTAATCACTTACTTTGTGGCTATTGCAACCATCTTCTTTTCAAGAATCATTTACATGTATTTTTTTGCAATTGGTGGTCAAAGGTTGGCATTTGATGTTGGTAAGGATTTGTCAGCTTGGACGAGAAAGTTCATGTTGAAGAACTCATCGACCTCACAAAACATAGAATATTAATGCTTTTAATATCATATTAAAAATTAGAATAATATATTAATCAGAGACTCTACAACTAAATTTTATTCTTTTATTCTATATGACAAAAAAAAATAATTTGTACAAAAGAAAACAGAAAAAAAAAACTATTAAAAGTAATCATCCCAAACTTCCAAGAGTTTCCAAATTCAACAAATTTTGCATTCCTAAATATCACGCGTGTCCAAACTACATTAACGTCTTGTCAAAGTGGGATGTGAGCAGACTGTCTTTGATATAGAAAGGTATCATGGGCAAGCATATGTGCACATTGAGAAGTTTTTATATTAAGTTTGAAACCATGTCAAATCTATATCACATATATATCCATTCGGAGAAGTCGTTACGAGTGCAGATCAATATTCAAAACTTAAACAATAAATATAATAACATTAGCTCTTTTATAACAAAAATAACATATACTTTAATCAATGCTTGCTTAAAAATAAATAAAACTTTGTGCTAGAGCTCGTTACTAAAGATACTTAGGATCATCTTTATCATCCTCCTACCGTCATTCATATCAATTGCCGCCTTCACCGTTGCAAAATTGTGAAAGTATATGTTGGCGCAACTTCTAAAAATATAAATCCATTGGTTCTAGATTTAGTATATCTTCTCATCTTATTCATGCATCCCTCAAACATTGATTACAAGCACAAACTACATAAGTATATTCTTCATTATCTTATCAATAATGAAGAATATACTTATGTGCACATATGTATATTTTTATCATCCTCCTACCGTCATTCATATCAATTGCCGCCTTCACCGTTGCAAAATTGTGAAAGTATATGTTGGCGCAACTTCTAAAAATATAAATCCATTGGTTCTAGATTTAGTATATCTTCTCATCTTATTCATGCATCCCTCAAACATTGATTACAAGCACAAACTACATAAGTATATTCTTCATTATCTTATCAATAAGCAAAAAAATCCTTATGTGCACATATGTATATTCAACCACCGCAAGAATATAATCATTTCTAAACCTACTATTACAAGACTTAACTCATCCACTGTAAAATTCTCATTTCTTCCTCATTCAAATTAACTATCAGTGATTATTTTATCTCCTAACCCTCGGATAATATGAGTACAACAACAACAACAACAACAACAAAGCCTTAATCCCACTATGTGGGGTCGGCTACATGAATCCTTTTTCTCCATTGCGTCCTATTTAGTATCATATTTTCATTTAGTTCTAGTAAATTAAAATCATTTTTAATACAATAAGCCCAAGTCTTCCTAGTAAATTAAAATCCATTGGTTCTAGATTTTAGTTCATGCATACCTCGGATAATATGAGTAGTTTTATAATATTTAATATGGACAAAAGAATAGACACCTCCACACTGATAACCGATATGGTGTAATATGGACAATAAACAACTCAAGCACGTTTCAATTTTCAATTTTCCCAACTAAACTTAAAAATAAGAGAACATATATTATATTAACACCCATAAAAAACGCCTTCAAGCTGGAATCCTTTTCTTCAGCAAACTAATGCTAAAAGTGAGCAGCAAAAGTGTAACATATTGAAGAAAAATTATCGGATATGCCTGGCTATGCTTGTTCTGGTAATCCTTGAAAGAATATAGGCAGCACGTCACATTTAGGGCAACTTAACATCTCCAAAAGTTGGACTCAGCATATTAACTGTAGAATTATTATCTATTTGTAAAACCAATGACCCTTGCTAAAATAAGCTCATCAATATGTAAAGCAAATGTGCAAGGAAAGCCACAATACAAAATTTTACAATCAATACACCTACACAATGTTACAGGAACACTAGTGCCATGCACTTCTAAAATTTGCAATGGTTAAATATATAGCTCATATTGCATGAGAAAAACAAACCTTGTAACGCCGGTACTTTGCCTCATTATTCCCAAGAAATCCTTTTATGAATGAATCAGTAAGAAAACCAGCCAAGCCTTCCAATAGCCATTCTGAAATCAACATAAACAACAGTCAAACCATAATCTGGATTCTTCTTACAGAATGTAAAGATGCATAAGCAACTTGTGAACTGTACGTACCATCATTCGGCTCCTCTGCAAATATGTAGACGCCAAACCACTGCCTTGCAAGGGCATAGGCAAGTTTGATTCTTGTTTCAATTGTCTATGTTGAAAAATATATATTTATATTTCATGAGAACAGATTTAATGAACTAACATGACAAAACAAGTGAAAAAAACAGAAGTCCCATAAATAAAAACTATCAAAATAATAATGGCCATTCTAGCCAAAATATAGCATTTCTTCAAATTTTCTATAGCATATTCAACCACCTGTGCATCATTCACTATCTAACTCTTTATAGAGCAAACACGCAATTAACACTAGTCCATTCAGGGTAACTATCCTAGAAATTTTATAACCTAATTATAGAGAAGCACGCCCTTGGATGCATGCTCAGCAATGCCACAACCGCATAATACATCTTTCAGTCATTAATTTGTCAAATATAAAACCAATTGCATGGGCAACACTAGTTGTGTAGCACGCAAAAAATGATAATTTTTAGTTGCATCAACACAAGTCATGATGAAAAATTAAAACACATGAAATCTCATCATCCAAATCACCAGCACAATAATTAGACTAATCCCTCTATTTAGACACAGCAATATGAACCCTCACTTTCCATTAATTCCAGCAACGTCCATCGCATGTCCTAACTTTTATGCACATGTTACCATAGATGTGAAATTATGTGTTTCCTATTTTAATGCTATTGTTTTTTTTCTTTTTGTTATGTTATGTTCCTTTCCTTATTTAATTTGTTTATCTTTGATCAGTTGTAATGATTGTAATTAAGCCTAATCGTTACTTATTTTATAAGGTGAAGAGTTATAGTTTAGTTATTGAGAACTAAGAGAATATTATTTTCTCTACCTTTTCCATGATATCAGAGCTTCACCGAATTGTTCCTGTCGGTGTCATTCCTCCTCGGTCTCGTTCGTCTTCGAAGTTATCCTCAATCGTCTCCTTCTGATTTCGTTTTCTCCTGTGCACGTGTGATCTAGGAGCTGCACTTACTAGATCATCTCCTTCCAGTTTCGCCAGTCCCCAATGCAAACAATCGTCGGCATCTCGTTTTGGGTTAATCCGTCCCCATGCATGTGTGAACCAAGAGCTGTAACTCTCGCTAGATCACAAACGTTGGTTCGTTGGTCTCAGTTTCATTTGGTTGGCGAAAGAAAGATAGCAGACCTCCGATTGAAAAGACTCTTTGCAACCTCTAGAATCCCTTCAATCAACTTGGAGGTCCTCCTCTTGTCGATCCTACGACCTTTGGAGCCTCTCCAACAGCCCTGCAGCCGTCGGAATCCCTTAATTCTTCCCTGTCGGTCTTCTCCTGCTGTCCTCCAACAGCGCTCATCTGTCAGCATTCCCCGACTCTTCTTCCCTGCTGCCGCCAATCTTCCTGCAAACCATTCCCCCAGGCGCTCAACTACACCTTCTACAGCAAGTTGTTGCGACCAACTTCCAACCTGTAACAAGCTACAGCGCTAAATATGTATAGTGTTTATGACCAAGTACGGTATGAAGACGTTGAATGTCACTCCAAAGGTTAATCATCCCATGTGCAAAAATTGCAAGAAACATGGTCACAAAAAGGACAGATGATGGAAACAAAATGAAAAACCTACAGAATGATAACTTCAACAAGACAGGAAAATATCAAAACAATAGCACCAATACTGCTACCGCTTCTAAAAGGTTGCCAACCCTAGCCCTTTCACCTAGAAATAGCTAGATGTGTTAAAGAAATTTTCTCGAGCACAACTGAGCGGTCTACCAACTTGATGATACACCAATGTATCATGTTCTCTTACATCTCGCTAAAAATAAAATTACGACCATGGAAAATAAATTTAGGTGTTTATAATCAAATATTTAGAGTTTTGCCAGTGTGAATCTTCTTAATTAGCTAAACATAATCGTCATGTCTATCCTCTGTCCCAGTAGAAACCCTCTCATTTTTTCTACATCATCAATAGTGACATTTTGGGACCATCAAAATTGAAAACTATAAATATATCTAGATGGATTGTCTCCATTATAGATGACCACACTAGAACCATTTAAATATTCGTAGTGAATGAACATTTTGAAACTGACAAATCTTTCAGTCCTTCCATAACATGATTTCCACTCTATTCCAATGTGAAATTTAGGTCCTCAAAACTAATCATATAAAAGAATACATTGATTCTATACATAGACCGAACCTTACAAAAAACGGTGTCATTCAAATAAGTTCTTATGTTAAAACTCCAAAATAAAATGTATAGCTGAGAAAAAGAATAAACATGCCATCAAGGTATCTAGGTCTTAATACTTTCTCACAAAACTTAAAAAATTTCTTAGGAGATGTGTTCACAGCCACTTACCTTATTAATAGAACATCAAGCATGATATTTAGATTCGAAACCCCTCTCGATATTTTGATAAAAAGGTACCCTCATGTCAAATCATTCTCATCCAATTTTCTTCTAAAAATAATTGGTTGTCTCTTTTGTTCGCATTCACCGACCAAACCGCACAAAACTTGACCTGAAATCCATCAAATGTATCTTTCTTAGGTATGCTTCTAACAAAAATAGGTATGAGTGATATTCTCTCATTAAGAAATAATAATAATAAAATTTATAACTCAATAGATGTTACCTTCATTGCAACCAACCCTAGTACCCCAAATCTATAATTCATGGAGAGCCCGGGAACTAGTGATATTCTCTATATGGTGACTTTATTAAGGAGATGATCGATTCCAAAAGCTTCCAGGAGGGAGGCAAAGGTTGTCCTAGCTGAGGAGAATGACTCGGGAACGAGTGTCACTACCCGCTCTAGTTACAAATAAAGTTTGTCTCTTTCATCTACAATAAATAACATTTTACAAATGAAAGAGTCACTTATTAAACTAAATTAAAGCATTATATTTACATTACCTCGTTATTTATTGTTTGCACCTTTCATAAACACTTGTTCTTTAACGCTTATCTTTTAATCAATTATATTAACTTAAAAAGTTGATTTAAAAATAATAATAAGATAAACAAACCAGAGAATACTCATGCTCATAAACTAATATAATACAAGAGAGAAAGAAACTAATTGCATGCCAGTTAAGCTATTTAATAAATCAATATAAACATTTGAGATATTCAATGATTATTACTTTATTAATAACATACCAATATTATTCTATATTTTTAAAACCGTAACAGTAGTGTTGTTTAAAGCTTTGTACCCATTAAGACATTTCAATATCAATATTATTTTTCATGAACACACGGGTACCTTAGTGTTTCCCTATTAATATTATCAAGGAGTGACTCTATCATAGTCAGCCATGCAAATATAAATATGGAACATAACTATATCATTCATATGCTTGTCGCATTCAATTCAATAAATTATATATATTATACACCAATACAAAATATTAAGTAACTTCAAACACTCCTAACAATGTGACAAATCAAAGAAAATATATAAATTAAATAAAGTTTGTGGCAAAATTATTATCTACAAATAGGTAAAAATTGAGAACAAAAATATTGTCATATATTAAAAGTACGAGTACTCACTTTTATGTTGATTAATTTGTGCTTGAATTTACCTAGATATCAACTCCTGTAAATTAGAAACCTACTCAAAAACATGATAATTAATTAATTTATAATTTTAATAAACTATTATCTTTTTATTAATTAAGTATTAAATTTACTTTATCTAGATAATTATAACTAAACTATATCAACTCCTGTAATTACTTTAACTATATGTATGTATGTATGTATAGATATAATTAAACTTCAAAACTAAATCGAATTAATAACAACATTGCCTCGGTCTAATAACACGATGGTTGCACACGAATTTGTCGCATATTCCTTCCCTCAAGAGCTTCCACTTCTATCGCACATGGCTTCGGCTCCCTCTCGGCCGACGTTGTCTTCTTCTTTGTGCACGGAATTGCACAAACAGTTCACCTCTTTCTCATTAGTGAAACAGAGACACTTTTGATGTTGTTGTTCTCCTTCTACACTCTTCGCCCTAACCTCACTCACCGCAGCCACTAAAGCCTACGCGATCGAGAGCCCTCCTCTACAACTGTTCGACTCTCAAGTAAGTTACAACAATTTATAAGGCAAACCATCTCCTCGGATTCCGACCCCCTCGCATCCCCGACTCCTCACTTGATCTTCTGTGTATTTATTTCCTCGACACTCCCTTCCTCTTCCAAGATTATTCAATTCCCTACCCCGTGTAATATATCTATTACAATCTTCCCTACTTACAAAAATTTCATCATCAAAATTTATCAACAAATCTTAAGCAAGCCAACATTAGCTATTCATGAAACTAGGAACATTCATAAAAATGAAAAGTAATCAGTATAAAAAAAGACAAGATATAAGGCGACTCCACTATATTTCGGAATACAATACGAAACAAGAAAGTATGTTAAAATAATACACTTACATAAGAAATCGCAAAACAAGTCGGACCTTATCAACATCAGCAGCAGTAGGTTCTCAAGACACACTTTGAGTGAGAGAATATACCCAAAATCGAATTGATCGTCTTGGTTGACCTTGGGTAGGAGCTGAGGCTATAGAATATATCTTTTTCCTGATAACTTCTAAGAAAGAGCTTCACAAAATTTCTAATCACCAATGTTTTTCTGGCCAAGAGGTGGACAATATCTTGCAATATGACCAAACTGACAGCACCACTAGTAAGTGTTAAGAGCCATCAAGCATTCAACTTAAAGTTGTCTTTCACATTTGGCATAACTGACTACGATACCCTGAGTCGTACCTTTGCTAACTCCACACGATTTTTTCTTGGAATTCCTACCATTTGATCCCTCTGTTTGATCCACATATCTATTTTCTTCATCTCTCTTCCTCTTGTGCATCTTCTTACTCTTTTGAGTAAGTCGATAGTCGATCTCCACTATTCTAGCTCGTACCACTAATAGCGAGCATTCATCGATCACTTAAGGTAGAAACAACTGCTTGATTGAAACATTTAATCACGAAAGAAATCTGCAGCACTTTTCTTCTGCAGCAACTATCAACTCTAGCGCATATCTCAATAGT